GGCCACGAGCTGGGGAACCATGCTATGCGGGACGAGCCGTCGCGCGCGCTGCGGGACGACGTGCTCTCGGCCCAGATTGCGGAGGTGCAGGCGCGGATTCATGATGTGTATGCGCGGGCTGGGGTCGATGAGCCGGCAGTTAGGTGGTTTCGGCCGGGGTCGGGGTTCTTCAGTGAGAGGATGAGAAGGCTGGTTGGGGCTCTGGGGCTGCGGATTGCGCTGGGGAGTGTGTACCCGCATGATCCCCAGGTTCCGTATGCGAGGGTGAATGCGGCGCATGTGCTGAGTATGGTGCGGCCGGGGAGTGTGATTATCTGTCATGATCGGAGGAGCTGGACGGGGCCGATGCTCACAAGGGTTTTGCCGGAGTTGAGGAGACGGGGGTATCGGGTTGTGACTCTGAGTGAGTTGGTGAGGGAGGCGGAGGGATTATGAAGTGAGGCTACGCCGCTACAGAGGCAGGTTTGATGTGGTGCATTGCATTTGCATACTTTCGCTTCGTTGTTGATACATGTCTATAGAATACCCATACCCATATTACCATACATTGTGATAATCCTAGAGAACAAGGCTGATCGGATAGCCGTCGACAAAATTCGTTTCACCCTCACTCCCATCGTCTCCACTCGAGCAGAGTCCTCCGCAGCTCAGCGTCACAGTCATATCCCTTGCGCTCCTCCTCCAACAACTCCTCTCGTTGTTCCCGAATGTGCTGCTCAACGTCGTAGCGCTTCAGTGCGATCAGCTTCAGGTACGCCAGATCATTTCGCTGCACGGCGTCGCGGAACTTGGCCCGGATCCGGGGCGAGTACAGCTGGCAGCTGGCTTCCCGGCATCGAGTCGGTGCGTCCCCTGGCGCAAGTCGCATCCTGGTCAAGAATTCCCGCGCGATGGGCTTATTCGCCTTGACCAGCGGCCACACCACGTCGTCGTAGCAATCCTCACACACCGTGAACTCGGGCAGTTGCGGCATGTAGTACCACATACCAAGAACCGGTCGATCCCGGCGACAGTCCTGTAGCACGACCTTGCGGCGAGCGTAAGCCAGAAACTCAGTCATGTCGGTCCGTGGCGAGCGTTCGAGCTCGGCGCGGTTTGCAGCAATGTCCAGCAGGTCAATGTATTGGACGAACCGCGGACTGTCCGCCACGAAATCACAGACCTGTTCCTGCATCGTCGTGCTTCTCGTGAACGTCTCGCGGTGCTGCGGCATAAGAATGCGCAGGTTGCGAATACACGTGGAGCAGACGTTGAACTTTGGCAGGTACATGCCTGTTTCCGGGTCGATGATTCGGTACCAGAACTGATCGCTGATGATGCGCCCCGTGCATGGCTTGCTTCCTGGCGGTGGCCGGGTTATTTGCTCGAGCATGTCCAAAGTCTCATACTGCTTCTTGATGGTCTGCATCCAGGCGAGTCGTGTCCACGGCTCACTCATCGAGCATCGAACTCTCTGTCCACGTGGTACCGGTAAACCGGGGATGAACAAATCTTGGAATCGCGAATTGCGCATCTGTTTCATGCACGAAGGGCAGATATCAAGATGTTCCAATCCTTTGATGGTATACCAGTCCTGGTACCCGGTCATAGGGACAGACCGCGGACAAGGCAGAAGGCAGGGGCTGGCTTCTTCTGGGGAAGGTTGGCGAACCAGTGCTTTGGAAGGACTCGGCCGTCTCGAGGATCTTGATTGCTCGCGCTCCTGTTCTTGGTCGCCGTAAAATGATACTGTCCGTTTTGTTGTCGACTGAGACGATACAGGGGGCATTGGTTCAGTCGTCGCTGTACGGAGTGAAGCAGGAAACGGGTCAACTTCCTCTAGGTAGGGAGCAGCCGGTGTCGGCTTCGCTGGGGTGGACAAAGCTCTAGAACGAGTTCCGCGAGAAGTAGCTCGTGGCACTGGCTCGGGAGGTGCAATGCACCGAGAAGCTCGAGGAGGCTCGGAGGACGGTGATTCGGTGGGACCCGTAGGACGAGCAAGAGGCAGTCCGCTTGGTTGAGTAGAGCTTTCAGACTCGCGAACTTTGTGTCGCTGTCTCAATTTTTCTTCCAACCTTTCAGCCAAGCCTGATCCCGTGGGAGGGACAGTGTGAGCTCTCTGGCTTGTCTGCGAAGGCGGTTCCTGATGCGCGGTTCCAGGATTCATTGGGGACTTGTTTGCGGCCAAATCAGAGACATACCCGGCTGATGAGCGCGATTGTTGAGACTCGCCGGGGGATTGTCGACGCCCATTCCTCACGCTACCGGAGCGTTCTGGGACCGCGGCAGAAGTAGTCTTCTCGGCAGGCAACCCCAGGGAGCCTTGTCCGTTCCTTGCAGGCACAGGGACGCGCTCAGGGTTGCGAGGAGAAACTTGAGTGGTCGCTCTCACATCAATGTTCGTCTTCCCTGTTGCACTTTGGGTTCTAGAAATGGCATGGTTCGACTCCATTCTTTGACGGCTGCTGCTGGTGTTCTGGGGCATCCTGGGCGGCTGACGCTCCTCCTTCCTTGGCTGGGGTTGAGGCCTTGTCTCCTTGACCGGCAAGGGGACAGGCACCGTAGGAGGCGTCAAGTGGAATCCCTGAGAATCATCAACGATGTGGAGAAGTGGATCCTGTACAAATCTTTCAGGTGGCGTGGCTGGCCCTGCGCTATCATCTGAAGAACTGCTTTCACGGCTGCACTCATCCAGGTCATACTGTTTAGTCTTCGAAGGCTCGAAAATAGGCGCATCCAGGATGACAGGGCATTGGTCAATGGTTCCTCGGGCACAGACACCTTCAACTCCGGGCTTTACTCCTGCCATGGACATTCCGTGGAGCTCCCGCGAGAGTGAGGCAGCCTCGTCCTCCACCAAGGGAGGCGGCGGCCATTGGGACCGCTTGCGCCCAAATCGAGGCATTGTCGGCCGCGATGAGTCCAAGGTAGATGTGTGGTGGCTTCCAGAAGAGTAACAAGACAGGCAAGATTTTCTCTCAGAAGAGCTGAACTGGCAAAAGGCTATCCTGTGGCAGTGGCACGGCTGATTAGATATCCTTCCCTGGTGGCGGTTTGCATGGTATCACCGTCGATTCTCAGACTCACTCGGAGTTGTGTAGGCGTCGGAGAGGTCGAACAGAGAGATGTGTCAGTAAACTGAATACCAGGCTAGAAATGTGAGCGAACACAAATATCAGAATGTTGTCCAGGGAGATCCTCAGGAAACTGTCAGCTGTAGTGTACAAGATTATGATACAAGAAAGAAGATGAAGAAAAACTTTTCGTCCCTGGGTCTATGGGAACAAAGAGACTCAGGAAGAGCCAGCGCCAGAGAGCTTGGTATATAAATATCGTAACGAGTCTAGTTGGGCAGCGTGTTTCATCTTAGCGGCCCTATCAGAGCACAGACTCGGGGGTTGGGCGTTAATAGGCAGCGAATCAACCTCCATGTACGGATGTCCGGTCGATTTTGATGTCTGACTGAGAGAATGCGTGGCGATGCTTCGAACATGTCAACACTCAACAGGCACCGAAATATGATGATGCTTGGTCGGGAAGGCTAGTGGTAATCGCATGCTGTGGGTTTGTAAACGCCCGCGTTGGCGGACAATGACACACTGGACAACCAATCTGGGTCAACACTAGTGTCGAGGTTTATGTTGGACGGACGAATCATCGTCTCCTGACGCAGGAAAGGCTGATGCGGAGAGAGCCTTGCAGATATGAAAACGCCACTTACGGTAGGATTGACAGACATGACAGTTGTTCATGGACACTGCATCCATTCCACGCGAGCAGAAAAGGTAAGGCGAAGGGTGACCACTCAGCCCCCTTTCGGCGCCGTATTCCACGTTTCTTGACCATTGAGTTGCATGGATGGTATCCATTCCTTGACGAGGGCAAGACAAAGCGTATGATCTCGATATTTTGTTTGTCCTGCTCAGTAGACTGCTGTCGAACGAGCCTGGGAAAGTGACGATGTTTGCGATACCTCTAGTCAGAAGACTAGGTGGCAAAATATAGCACTCTCATCGCTATAGGTAGGGATGAGCCACTATGGAAAAAAGCAATGTGATGTAAACAAGGATGTTGACTTTGATAGTGATGGCATGTGTGGAAGGGAGAAATGTGGATTGCATCAATGAGTTTGTTGGCAGTGAGTAGATATGGTGGAGAGACAGCCAACACAACAATGGCTCTGAGTCACACTCTCCTGGGTATCTGTCTGCCATCTTTCAGCTACATCATCTTTACAGCTGAGCGTGGTAATGCTGTTTCTTTGGCACTCTCACTCTTTTCAAAACAGAAATCAAACTGTATGCCACTCGTCGCTTGGTCAATATAAAGATATATTTTGTGCAAGGTAGACTCCTCTAAGCTACTTCCATGCTTCTTCAGCCTATTCCTTCCTTGAACTTGCATACACACTGGTAGTAACTGTTGGTACAAGGCTCTTCACCTCTCATCTTCCATCTTTAACGTCCTTTTCTCGTTCTGCTCTAAAACTCGGGGATAAGGCTAAAGGGAAGAGATCCGACAATGTCGGATAACACCCGATGGCGTCATTCCCGCCGGAAGTTGATTAGAAGCTGGAGAGGACAACTTAAACAAGATTGAAGATAGTTGCTCGATAAAGGAATAGAATAGCTGCTGTTGAAGTCATAATTAATATAACTTCCAGGCCAGACCGGGTCAAAGTCCGAGTTTATCGTCAATTGCAAATGCCTCCGTAGTGGGGGGAAATGCGGGGAATGTCTGTAGATATCGGATACAACCAAAGAAATAGCTGTCGCGATGACAAATGCTCTTCTATAAGACGATGATAGATCGCCAAAGAAGGTTCCTCTAGTCCATACTTATAACCTCACACTATCCTCACCTCCCATCGAATGCATCTCTCCCGCGTCTTCATCTCCCGCCTCAATAGTTCCCTCGCGGTCACATCTCCCGCACTCGTCCGTCTCTCCGTTGTTCGCTCTCATCTCCAACCGTCCTTTCGGCCGACGGCTTCACTCACAACCTCCTCACAATCACACATCATGTCTATCCCAACCACCATGAAAGCCGTCCTGGTCGAAAAGACCGGCGGCCCCGAGGTCCTCGACTTTAAGACCGACTATCCCGTCCCCACCCCGCAAGAGGGCCAATTGCTCGTCAAAAACAATATCTCCGGCATCAACTACATCGACACCTACTTCCGCACGGGGCTCTACCCCGCCCCAAAGCCTGAAGTCTTGGGCCGCGAAGGCGCCGGTACCGTCGTCGCCGTGGGACCCGGGCCAAATCCTTACAACTTCCAGGTCGGTGACCGCGTCGCCTGGCTCAGCACCGGCGGATATGCGGAGTACACTGCCGTCGCTGCGGCCAAGACGGTCAAAATCCCCGACGGCATCTCAGATGAGGATGTCATGGCCTCATTCCTCAGCGGGCTGACCGTCTTGTCGCTAGCGAAGGAGACCTATGCCGTGCAGAAGGGCGATTGGGTTCTTTTGCACGCTGCCGCGGGTGGTGCCGGCTTTCTCATGACGCAGATCCTCAAGGCGATCGGCGCGCATGTTATTGGTACTGCTGGTGGTCCGGAGAAGGTCGAGCTGGTTAAAAGCCTCGGTGCGGATCATGTAATCGACTACCGCAGCGAAGGGGGAAAGGATTGGGTGAAGCGCGTGAAGGAAATCACCGGCGGCCGAGGCGTGGATGTCGTCTATGATTCCGTCGGAAAGGATACCTGGGAAGGAAGTCTGGAGGCCGTCAAGAGGAAAGGTACGATTGTCTGGTTTGGAAATGCCAGCGGACCCGTTCCTCCTCTACCTCTGAAGTAAGTTGGGTCCTTCACATTATTACTTTGTTTGGACAGGGACTGACCTGGACAGTAAACTCTCCCCCAAGTGCGTCAAGGTTGCCCGTCCTACACTTTTCGGCTACATTGAGACCCGCGAAGAATTCGAATTCTATGTCAATGAGCTGTTCAACCTGCTCCAGTCTGGCCAGCTCAAGGTCAGAATCCACAAGATCTACCCGCTTGAGCAGGTTCAACAGGCGCATATCGACCTCGAGGGGAGGAAGACTACGGGAAAGCCTCTCTTGAAGCCATGATCTGCTTATCCAATCAGAAACATGAATTTACTTGTGTATATATTTGAGGGGAATTGCCAATTTTCTGATTAAGATCCATCGAATTGTGCACCACGTATGCTACTGCTACGCAAAAAACTAAGATCAGATTCGCGGCTCGACAGCGTGGTCACCCTCTACTCCCTTTTCCTTTGGATCCTTGCCTTCCTCATCATCTGTCTCATCAGCTTCATGGTTGTCGCCCATCCGCAAATCCTTCGGTTTCTTCCAACCTATCATTAAATCGTTGGCCAGAGCCGTGTAGATAGAACAGTAGGCTGTGAACACCTCATCGAAGTAGTGAAATCCACAGTTGAGTTCCCAAACCGACGTTATGACCTTCATGCCAGGATAGCACAACTTCAGCAGACCCTCCTCAAGGAAGAAGTCAAACTCCAATGCTGGTGCACCGCCTGCTTCCCACTGAAGTCTCTCCTCAGGGCTGAGGTCAATGTTGGGCTTTCCGGGGTCGCGGTAGGCCTTTGCCAGCATTCTTCCAACTGGGCGGAGATCTGGAGCGTGTACCTTGTAAAACTCCCTAGTCTCATCATCTGGAAAGATGATGGCGGCCACTTCAAAGCCATCGATGTCTTCGACCCGCATCGCCCGAAGTGCGTCTTGATTTGCAAGCTCTTGGAATCGGACGGCCTGTCTATCGACTCCGGCGCCTGCCAGCGCAAACTTGACAACCTTACGGGCGATCTCGTTGGTCATATGCACTGCATGGTCCTTGCTGTTGTTCCACTGGTCGTCTTCAACGTGGAGGTCAAAGAAGACGCCGCCGAAGAGGGTAGAGCAAGCGGTATTGAAGTCTCCGGGTCCTTTGGCTGTGAGTTGCTGGTTTTTCCAGAGCTCTTTGCTGGCGATGTCGCAGGACTTCCTGGCTTCCTCGACGTTCGCTTTGTACTCTGGGACTACGTCGTGGTAGAGGATGTACGTGAGAAAGTTCCATATCGTGACTGTGGCCAGCTTGACCATGTCCTCGGTTTCGGGGTTGAAGTAGTACGGGAAGTAGGATGTCCTGTTCAGCCGTCAGTCTCATTTATGGTGTCGCAGTATTGGGTTGCCATGAAGGCTTACAGGAATCCCTTGACCACAGCGTTGAAGTCAATCTGTAAGTTCAATTGCTCCTGCGCGATGCTTGTCTGGGCCCTGGCCAGGAGGATATCTTCACTGTCCATCTCTTTGAGATCACGTTGGTCTGTACCCGTGAACATCTTCTGACTGATGTCGACGCCTCCATATTGCAGGTACTTTAAGAATATCTCGCGTCTGTCACATTCAATGCGTCGCTTCTTCTGGAAGCGTAGAATAGCATCTTCCATTCGACTAGGGTCGTTAGATTTCAAACTAATGAGTCCTAGTCGCAGTGAGGAACTTACTGAATGATAGGCCGCGAGCTTCATAAAGTTGAATGTTTGTCAGCCTACTCGTCTTTTGATATGGTATCAGTCACATACACATCATAGATCTCTCGCCCCTCTGCATACTCCTGGGGTGTTATAGGGGCATCCACGTAGTACTCTTCGAACCCTGTCGGCTTGTTCTGCAAAGTGTAAGCATCAGTTTCATTCGTAACGTCATCCGGTCAAGGGGAAAGGTCCTACCTTGCCGCGTTTGCTTTTCGGTCTGGTAGTTTTCTTTTTCTTCTTTGACTCCACCATATTAACAGGGACAGACTCTAGTTTCTCTTGACTATCATTTGCTTCTGACTGGGGCGGAGTCATTTCAATTGGCTTGCTTGTCGGAGGTTCTGTAGAAGTAGCCGTGTTTAGTTGCTCAGTCCTTGGGCTGTTGTATTGTTTGAGAGGTGAAAGAGGGAGCTCGTGAGAAGAGTTCGAGGGAATTTCTGGAGATTCCATTGCGATGAGAGGTCTGGATGAGATTGCTCACGAGATAGAAGAGAAGATTAGATCAAGCTGATACAAACGGGAGAGAAAGATTAGATCGACGGGGATGGGAAGTAGTCAATGAATGTGTGAAAGAGAGAGAGGATTCAATTCACTAGTACTTGGTAGGCGAAAGGAAAACACTCCCACCAGCAGTCCAACTTCTTCTCAGTCTGTTTGATTCATGCAAACAGAGCACACCCCCAGCTTCTTCAGTGTTCGCTGTGGTGCCTCAAGCAGCTTTTTGAGGATAATGTGGAAGACATATAGCAGACGCAGGCTACGAAGATTGGGATAATTCAGATGCGCCTGTAATAATATATTGATCAATATGGGACACCAAGCAAGTGAGAAGACCAAAAGAGGCAGATGTGACACCATCCAGAGCATCCAACCACATCCGCCCCGTCCTATGTGTTTCATTCCCTTGTCAGACTGGCAATTATTTCAGTCAATTAGACTACCGAAGGGCATATGTGTAGCTTTCGAATTCTTAGACCTATTGAAATTGGTTCTAGAGTACCCCCTCCTCTCCCTTATTGAATGGTCGATGTAAACTGTATCAACGACCTTGTTTCGCTTTTCACTTACTATACTAATAGTAGTATAAGACCTCATTGAGATCTTAACTTACTTTACCCTGGTATGTCTGAAGCCTTGTTAGGCTTTCTGAGGCTTTATTAGACTGTAGTCTATGTGGATGAGCTAAATTAAGGTCCAGCTTGGCAGTGAACTAGCTAATCCATCTGTATCTTAATGAGCCCTTCATTATTATCTCTATGGAATCATTCATTTATATGCTTAGTATACAAGAGTGTAAAAGAGTCTAGTAATGATTCTTTACTCCTGCTAGACTGGTTGTGCACATCTTAGTTCAAGGACTGGACAGTTCAAGTGGTAACATTATCATCCTGATCGTCCACTCTGGTAATATGTGCTAGAAAGACGACAAGGCCGGTTAGAAAAGGTTTAGAGTTGGCATAAGAAGGTCAGCCATTCCATTTTAAACAAATACTTCATTACAAGCTGATATTACTGACGTTTAGAGATGCAGCATGCCGTTGTAGATATAAGAGTTGCAAGAAATAATGGCTCCATAGTTAGAAGCATACTCTATCCCTTTCCTGATAAGGCTATATATATACCCACGACATTCCAGTATAACGACAAAGAGCGAAATACAACTCAAGTCTGGCGTATACTGAATCTGCTCGAAGGCCCAGGATAGACAAACCCTTAGCCTCAGCCAAAAGCGGCAGACATGATGCCATCCTCTGAACAACCGGTCCTCGGCCCGCGTTGAGCCGGCAATCACAGCCGCCGATCCCTTCTTATCAAAACTGACCGTTGTTAGAACCAAGACACTAAGGTGACAACGACCCCATCAGTCTACTAGAGCAGTATTATTATTTTAAATAATCTCCTAAACATTTATTTCCGCCCCCCTTTGCCAGTCATGCCGTTCATGATTGCATTTCAACCGTAGACGGAAGTACAATTACTTGCCTTGTCTCTCCTTTTCTTCACTCCTTAAGTCTACCATCTCTTTTGACGACACTCTATCTACAACTTCTTCTCTTTCACCTTTGACTACTTCCCACAACCCTATCGCGGCCTGGAAATACCTCCTTACCTGTCAAACGCACCTTCCGGAATGAGCAATGAATGAGATTTAGCGGCGCTCCGGTGTGCAATAGTATATGGGTATTCTCTCTCGCGAACAACATGCCGTCGTCTTCCAGGTCCGATAGTGTGAAAACACCCAAGCTCGATACTGACAGCTTTGTCGACTTCGACCACGCCGCTGCTGGACAGTAAGTACCCCATCGCACTCGGCCCACCTTCCTTGCCCACGTCAGCATATCTCAGCCTTTCTAGCGGCTGCATTATCCTGCATTGAGCATCCAATCGTTGTCAGCGCAGTGCGCTTTGTGCGCGTATACAGGGGTCGCATGACTGGTCTAACACCTTTCTCTACAGTGACGGCGTGCGTTGCACTCCCTCCGGTTCCTTCATCGCAAAACCTTGCACTCCCCAAGAAGTTGCGTTCTACGAATCTAGCGCCCTCCATCCCGCCTTTCGGGAGTTCATTCCCACTTACATCGGAACCTTATCGTCTGCTGACCAGCAAGGCCCCTTAGCGCTCACTGCTGCTGCTCAGCAGAGTGGAGCTATTGTTCTACCAACCGCGGACGACTCATCATCATCCGCCACGCCGACCACCGCGGAGGCGCCGCAGCCTGGTTTGAATGCTGGATTAGGCTTGAACGGCGCAGCTGAGAACAAAACTTGGATTCCCTCTGGTGGAAAAAAGCTCGAAACGGGCCTGTCCATAGTCCTGGAGAATGTCGCCTCTGGGTTCACACGCCCAAATGTCCTGGATGTGAAGCTTGGCGCGCGACTTTGGGCTGATGACGCGCTTCCCGCTAAGCGGGCCAAGCTGGAAGCTGTGGCGAAGGAGACAACCAGCGGTAGTCTCGGGTTTCGCATTGCCGGGATGAAGATTTGGACCGGCGCTCATGGGGAGATGGACGAGAGGAGCAAGACCAATCCATACGCCACCAAACATGAGGGAGTCGAGGGTGCCAGGGGTGAAGTCGTTGAAAAGGACGGCTACAAGCGCTATGACAAGTGGTACGGACGGTCTTTTAATGAAAAGAATGTAAAAGAAGGCTTTGAGACGTTCCTCGCTGGCGCAAAGGCCGGCGCTGTTGATCGGTCCAAATTAATCGCCAGGAGACTTGCTGACGAGCTGACACGTGTGCAGTTGATCCTGGAGTCTGAAGAGAGCAGGATGTATTCTGCAAGTGTTCTCATTGTCTACGAAGGTGACCCAGAGGCCATGGAACAAGCACTAGAAGAAGAGAAGAAACCCAGGGAGAGATCACCAGAAGAGTCCGATGAAGACGACGAGCAGTTTGATTTTGCTCTGCAGGAAGATGGCTCCTTCGAAGTCGTCAACCTCCAGGTTGGACAAGAGGGAATTCCCCAGCAGGCAGTCAATATCAACCTTGGTCCAGAAACGGCACAATTAGGAGAAATAGACTTCGAAGACGAAGAGGAAGAGGATGAACCCCCTAAGGTGCACGACCTCCGCTTGATTGACTTTGCGCACGCCAGTTGGACTCCCGGTCAGGGTCCGGACGAAAACGTCCTCATGGGAGTCCGGAACTTAATCAGGCTGCTTGATGAGCTTGCTATGGAATGAGCACATCGAATAAAATTTAGGAATACGGGATCTTTCTATCCAACAGTCGCTGGCGGCTTCTGGATCAGAAGATGTTCAATCTATTGGCTCTGTTTAATGCTATCAATATACGATGATGGCTTGCTTGGGGAAGAAACAGATAACAGGTGGCAAGCACAGTCAATGGATATAATAGATAAAAGGAATAATAGCTATATCTTCTCAAAAGTTCAGACCTCTTCGTAATTAATCTGTGGGTATCTTGAGCATCCCAAGTATATTCGCTTACATAATCGGCCGTCCGAAAAGCATCAATTTGCGACTCTCAACTTCTGGAGTCTCGGACTCGTTGAGCAGCGTGTATCGACAAGATGTTTCCCACTCGTGCTCTGCTGGGGCGATCAGTATGGAAGGGTAAGTCTTCCAAGATTGTTCCTGTTTAATCCATACATCTCGAAGGAAGGAATAATGGCTAATTCCGCTACCATCACCGCGCAGGCCCGAACATTGTGCCGTACGTTATCTCCATGTCCTAGCTTGGATATACTTGCCTCAGGATCGCAGAGACAGCTTCAAATGAGATTGAGTGATTCTCTTGTATAAGCTGACGCTCAATTTCCCCTCGACAGTCTCCCTCTCCCGCGAAAGCTCCCCCCTCCTCCCGGCACACCCCCGATCAAGACACAGAAGCGCGCAGCCACAATCCTGCCTAATTTCGTCGGTCTGCGGTTCGCGGTGCACAATGGAAAGACGTACCAGGATGTTTTGATTACAGAGGATATGGTGGGGAGGAAGCTGGGCGAATATGTTCCGTATGTTTGATGCCCCGTTCAGTTTGAGAGACGTTCCGACAAAATCGGGAGGAGAGGCAGAAGCAGAAAGCTGACGGTTTGCATTGGCAGTACTCGCAAGCGGTTCACGTACAAGCAGTCCAAGAACAAATAAGTGATCCTGCCGGGGTATGGGGATACGGTTCGATGGTGGTTCTTGTCGCTGCGCTGCTTTTTCGAGATCTGGCGCTTACGGGCATTGTTCCTGGGGCGAGCATCATTATGGGATGGGGTCGTGATTCGTACTGCTACGGCAGGTGCTTGAGAATGATCAAGCAGGGAATTTCTACTGTGAGGGTAGCAGATCTTGCTCTTCTGCGGTCTCGTGTCCCTGCCGACGCTCTTCCGTCTTCTACTGGCGGGGACGTGTACATCTACACATATCTGTATTGTAAAAATAGCGGTTACTGTGTTGGAGTTATTTAGGTTTTGCGATAATCAATATTTTCATTTTATTTTGGATATTAGGACGTGCTAAATTGTATACTTGTTGAGGTGGACACCGATGAATGTGTGTCCCGTTCAGCCTTCCAAAAACGCCTGCGTGCAAAGTTCACAAAAGGAAAATTCTTTTCGAAATATAAGAAACCCCCAATGCAGGATATCCGTTGTCCTCGACCCGATATGTACGCCAAATGAAGTTGAAAAATCTGCCTTCCCCAGAGAAAGCCACCATAATCCCTCTCGCCAAGACTGTGTAGCAATATAACGTAAAAACCTCTCATAAGCCATCCAGATTCTTGTGGATGAGCTCTATCGACCGTGCAGACGGAGGATCCTTAAGCCCAAGCGGATGACACCCGGTCGCATGCTGGCTGTACTAACCATCACGGATGTGTTCCATCACCAGGACCGAGCCTTCTCTACCGGTAAAACTCCCCTCTCTTGACGCTCACACCATACTCTGCAACAGCCATGCCCAAGTCTTCCATGGTGAGCACCGTCCGGCCTTGCCCGGAGCCACCGGAGCCACCGCCGCCAAAACCAGGGCGCTGAATGCCCAGATGTGTGTTCGCTTTGCCTTTGCCTGCGTCGCCGCCACCAACACCCGCTGCGCCGCCTGCTGCCCCAGCTCCTCCAGCACCGCCGGGTATGTTTAGACCTGAGGCGGCGTTCAGACTGCCCATGGGGTTGCTGGCGGATGAACTGTTCGAGGCTCGGATACGTGCGTACTGATATGAGTCGGCCGCGATATCAGCAATGAATTTCTGTGTTGCGAGAGCGAGGAGTCGGGCCAGATGCGGGGGGGTTTGGTTCGGTCCGTTTCCTGGGGGCGGTAGTCCGGCGAGGGTAAGATAGTGAGCTGTTACCGCGTCTGGGATCTATATCTTGTTAGAATGGCTCAAGGGTGTACGTCTTGCGATACGTCCATGACAGCAAAGGCTGTCGAAAGTAAGGCAAGAGGAAAATGAGAAAAAGAAAGCTGGACCTACAATAGGCGCATAATCATCCATCTTGCCCAGAAACTCGCGCAGACTCGTCTCCTTCTTGGATGGCGCCACTGCCGCTGCTATAGCGTCGACAGACGTAGGCACCGCATCTTGAACAGGGTTCCCTATCGTATTATCTCCGTCGCTTGCGCCTGCAGCGTTCGTAATGCCACTGGTGCTCATGTCGATATCTTGCTCGATGGAAGCGTCAAGGGTTGTGACATCCACTGTATTTGGCTCCTGCTTGGGTACAACCGGGGGTTCAGAAGTACCCGATGGCTCTCCTGGTACTGTCGCCTGCGTTGACGATGATGGACGCTCTTCTGAACCGATCTGGGATGAAGGTGGTGGTTGCGACGAAGGCGGCGCTGGAGGTTGCGATGGAGTTGATGAATCGGCCATCGTGACAGATCACTTATTAGTGACTTGAGCAAGAGAGACGGAGGTGAATGGACGGGTAAAGTTAACCCCAGTTGGACGAATAGGAGAATTGGGGTACAACGTTTCGCTGAGGTCTGTTCTTTCTAGGGTGTGTACAACGAATTGCCATGTGTTGGTGATGCCCAAGCGGAGTTCTGTCCGTGTTCGGCCCGAGGACAATTAGACTATGCAGATGAGCTTGGAAAACCAACGCTCAAGCAAGGTTTTATGATATTCTCTAAAATAGGCACAGCTGAAAATGGTATTCATATAAGTACAGAATCATTTTACATATGTACGAGTAGATGCCTGAATTTTACTCTTACAGACCGAACCAGACCCAAACCATGCTATTACAAAACGCGACAAAGCAGCATGCTTCACCAGAAGCGAAAAAGACAGGTAACAACCACAGCAACTTCAGATCGATCCTTGGGGCAGGCCGGAGAAAATACATTTTGTAGAAAGAACAACCAGTTTACTGCCCCAGGTGCATGTTGGGATCCACATTACCTGGTTGATGTTGAGGTTGCCCAAATTGAGCACCATGGACCTCCTGGCCCAGTGTCTGCATCAGGTTCTGTTCCGCGGTTTGATCAAACGTAGAATGGCTGCCAGTATCCGGAAGCCCGGGAGAAGCAGACATCGCCTCGTGCCCGTGTCCGAGCGCAACGGGCTGCGAATGTGCGCCAGCAAGGGCCATCATGCCTTTGATACCTTCCACATGAGCCTTATCTTCTTCGCCTTGCTTCTTCTGCCTCTCCCGTGCTTCACGTTTAGCGGCCTGAGCAGGAGCGCGAGTCTTGAGTTCACCGGTGACAAACTTCAGGTAATAAGGAACTTCGATACCGCTCTTGAGGAAAAAGAGTTTCAAGTTGCGCGCTTTGTCTTTCAGCTGCACTTGATTACGATCCTTCAGGGCTTCGCTGATAGTACCTCCGGGTCCGAACATCGCAAGAATTTGACTCCAGTGTGGTCCCTTTACACGATCCAGTCCAGCCATCAAAGCGTTTTCTTCTTCAGTAGTCCAGGGGCGGCGCTGGCTTGGTAGGCCGGATTTGCGACTGCTTGGAGACGATTTCGCCGAAGCCGCCATGCGAGCGCGCTCATAGAGTACCTGAGTGGGTTGTGATTGCGAATAGTGAGGAATCCCAGGCATATAACCATGGTTTGATGAATGACCACCGTTGGGTCTCCCTGGCATGGAGACGTGACCCCCAGGGTGATATTGTTGAAAGTTTGCTTGCAGAGGACTTTGCTGGAATGTGAGCTGCCCGGGCTGTTGCTGATACCCCGGCGGCGTTGGACTATGCTGGTAGTGCTGTTGGTGTGGGTTTTGCTGAGATTGCAGCTGGCCCGTGGGCTGAGCAGCAGTATACCCATGAGGTGCCTGGCCCCCATGTTGAGAACTCTGCTGCGGCATTTGCTGTGGCTGTAGATGTTGCTGGGGTTGCTGCTGAGCCTGCTGAATTTGGTTTTGATGCTGTTGCTGTTGCTGTTGCTGTTGCTGGGGTTGTCCTGGTTGCTGTGGCTGACTGAGCTGCTGCTGCTGCTGTTGTTGAGAACGCCTCAATCCATGGCCCTGCAAGGCAATCTGGGCCGCACGTGCCGCACGGGCTACCAAGTCACCATGCATATTCTTGTCAACAGGAACTTCAGGCGCTTGCGAAGCAACAGGGAATTGGCCTTGGAGGGGTGCACTGGGCGGATCCTGTGATTCGCCACTCGATGAAGATGGTTGTCTTCCCTTATTCAATTTCTTCGTCTGATCAGCATTAGCAAGGCAAGGATAGATAGGAGCCACAGAAAAACAAACCTGTTGATGGCAGATAGCATCAAAGTTCTTCGTAATGTACGAGCTCAGGTCTCGGAGGAAATCTTCCCAGTGGTACTTATCGGGCAGAGCTTTCATCGCCTCTTCGTTGTTAATATCGTTCAAAAGAATATCCCGGCGTGAGCCGGCACGTTTCACGAAATCAGCCTCACTAGGTGCTAGCTGACGAGTTCCCGGCCGTCGGTCAAGTAAGCGCTGCTCCAGATCATCTGGAAACAGGTCGTACAGCAACTCGGTCCTTGTCCTCTCAGTGTTGTTCATGGAGGCTATGAACGCTTGGGTCTTGAGCTCCAGAAACAGAGCACCTTGCACTTTTAGCAGGCGGCCCCCTTCCGGGACGAAAACATCCAGGAAATGCTCATTTAGCTCAGCAAATCCAATCTCTTGTGTGCCAAAGATACTTGAAACGAATGAAGCCAGGTTTGCTTTTCTGATGATGTCAACTTGGGAAGGTTCCGTGAGACCAAGTTCAGTCGGTGACAGGAACGATTCCTTGGAGGAATACACTTTCTTTGTATGATCAAAGAGGGATCTCATGGTCGCATAAGCTTGTCCGTTTTCTGACTCCGGCTCAGCCACAAACGACGTAATGTCCTGGTAAGTGGATTTGGCCAGAAGAGAGAGAATTTGGGTAGACTGAACGGCACACTTGTCAGGGTTGATCTCTAGAAGATCCATATAACAGGATAAGAAGCATTTCTTACCAGATTGTCCAATATAGGCAAGCTCTGGATCTTCAAGTGCGAGTTTGCCTTCACATAAACTAGACCCTTGGGCGCCTGCTGATCCGCAGGGGTAGTCGGTGTCGTTGTCGCAGTAGTTAATTGTTGCTGACCCATAGCGCATTGTTCCTCGACCCGTTCAGCATGATTCATGATACTTGAGATGACAGACGCCATATCGTCAAGCTCCGGATTTGTCTCTGGCGCTGCGGGATCTCCCGCAGAGCTGACCGGCTGAGTCTGCCCAGCATTCTGGCGTTCCACAGTATCGACAATTCCAGAACCGAGCGCGGATACTAATTCTTCTTCAATCTGATGTCCGGGCGCTTGATCGGTCAATTCGGTAGTTTGAGACGGTAGGAGAAGCCCTTCCGACTCGGCGTCGATGCGCCGTTTCTTCGAGGCTCGAGGGGAAAGGGAGCCATCCTCGTCCTCCTCGCGCGGGTGAGACGTCTTCAAGGAAGCTGCAGATAAATCAGAGTCAGAATCGAACTTCAAACCATAAATAGGCTAAAGATTTGTTTAAATAAATGAAAGAAATGACAATGGCCTCCGGTGTCATGTTGGACGGGCAGATTCAGGTCCGCAATAAGCCACGAGGAACACTTACCATCGTCCTCGACCTTGAGGGCTGGAGACGCAGGAAGCTCAGAAGAGACGTGATCGTCAGACGAGGGACCTGAACCTCGCGTGTTTACCATATTGGACAAGGCAAGGTCCTAAGAAGATACTATCTTGACTTCCAAGAGCAGAAATAAGGGCTTAGGGGTAGGGCGCAGGTGTAGGGCTTGGGGAGAAGGTGAGACGAACGGGACGGCGTGATAGATTTTTCGCCGGCAGCCGGATGCGGTCAGAGGGACGAATCAGACGGGCGATAGCTGTGAATGCTTCCACCTTGGGAGTTGTATTCGCATATTCTATTCATACGATAATGTAGACTACTATTTTAATAGTCAAGGCAAATTGATCTCCACTCCTAATTTCAATTCCACCTTGGCTTGAAGAACAGGCGGCGACAACAGACTGGAAATGCTGAGTTTGGAGTTCTGCCTTGATGCCTGAGGATCAAAAGCAACCAATTCGGTAACTCTCTAGAGAAGGTGAATGAACTTTTCTCTCAGCTTCATCGCTCCATGCGTTACATTACTCATTTGACTTCTTTTACTGGCCTCGCTTGCAATTGACAGCCGAATATGTCCGCCGAAATCTCGAGTCAAGGGTGCCAGAGTAGAACCTCACATGGTTACTTTGGTTCGAATGCTACCTACCATTACCGACGCTCGCGTCATTGACCCTGATCCTTACCATGCCTCTGCAGTTGCAACAGACTGACGTGCTACTTTGGTCTACGAAATTTTAGAGAACAATCCATTCTCTTGTCTACGAAGCTGAGTGAGCGGTATTTATCTCGGCTTTGTCGAGGCCGGGCATCGAGCATCAAATGCTGAAAAATGTGATTTCTCTCTTGCGCTTCGATTCTGTAGACGGAAACAGGAAGGGTACGAGTCTAATGCTGATAAACCAGTGGAACTACCTTCTGAGGGTGCCATGCATACTTCTACATGAACCCTTTCGACCATGGAACAGAGTAAAGGATGCCTGGTGGGACAACCACACATGTAACTTCTGCAAGCACTCTGTCTATATTGATACAACTCTAGTGTTGATGCAATGATATTGATTTCGTCACATCCATACCAGCACTGTTGGATACCCAACGGTCGTGAATGGGGTCTAGACGTCTTTGTGATGCTTTCCCTTGGTACTTTAAAATTGGATAGGATGCTTGCAATGCTCCCGTCAATTGCCTTATACGCTGAAGAAAGCGACTATCTTTTCTTCTACTACCCCAGGCTCGCCTAGACAAGATCATCTGGAACGTCGCCTGTCAAGCTCATACTGCGCGGAGCCTCGCACATTGAACACCTGCCATTCGATAAGAAATTGCTTCTCAGATCGTGATGTTGATCTCTCGTGAACGCTTCCTGGCCCTGACAGCAGCGGCAGCTTTTCAATTTCCTGCCTTGGTTGCGGCCCAAGAGCTCAAGGAGAAAGTCTGGTCGGTTTTCGCATATACACTTCACGGGGATAGTATCCCGAACGCTCTGCCTCGCCCAAGAGCGTTGACTCCCTACGGAGCAAATGAATTGTATGCCGCCGGGTCCGCCTTTCGCGACCGCTATGTTGCCATACATAGCGAGGGAAGTGGCGTGGGAACAAGAATACCAAGCCTGTCTCCGTACGCACTAGAAGCCGAGGAGATCCCTGTTCTTTCAAGTACCGATCAGCCAGCCGTGGCATCGGCCCAGGCTTTCATGCAGGGCCTGTATCCGCCTCTCGACCAGGCTTACGATGGGGAATTCTTTGACCCTTCTTTCCTGCTCGCTAACGGGTCGCTGTCTCGTGCTCCTTTGAACGGATATCAGTATCCTCAAGTGATCACCCTGAGCCCAGCAGACCCTCGATCGATCATTGTAGACGGCCAGTCTGAATGTACTCTACACGAAGTCGCTGACCTGGAGTACAAATTCAGTCCTGAGGTGCAGGAACTTATGCAAGAGTCGGAAGCATTCTACGGCCGCTTGTACAGCCAATCCTTGAGTGGAGTATATGATCTCTCCTCAGCCAACTATGCCAACGCGTTCTACATATCGGAATTCCTTGAATATGAGTTATTGCACAACAAGTCATTGTTGAACCATTTGGATCGAGAGGATATCCAACGTGCGCGATGGTATGCAGACCACTATATGTACGCAACGAACGGTAACCTATCCTCGTCGGAACTCAGTGTATCCAATGACATCCGCACAATTGCGGGCAGAACCTTGGCGTCGCATGTTTTGGAAGCTTTCGACACCAATATCCAATACCGGGGAGCTAACAGCAAGTTGAGCCTTGTTTTTGGTGGCTCGGAACCCGCTGTCGCTCTTGCTTCGCTCATGCAGCTCGCCTCGTCGAGCCAGGAGAACTTCTACTCGTGTCCAGACCTCGGAGCATCGCTCGTCTTCGAACTGTTTAGCCTCGAAGCTGAAGCAGTCCCGACATATCCTGACCAGTCTCAGCTCTACGTGCGATTTCTCTTGCGTAACGGAACAGGCACTGCCGCCGAATTTCGGTCCTATCCACTTTTTTGGCACGGTCCAAGTAATGATGCGATCCCATACTCCGAGTTCCACGCACAAATGGAGAAGTTCTCCCTTGGTTCGACCGAGCAGTGGTGCCTCGAATGCGGATCGTCGGCTGTGTTCTGTTCCGGAGTGATGGACAAGGCTAAGAACACATCTGCCTCCAACAACAGGTTAAGCCCGGCTATTGCTGGCGTCATTGGAGCTGTGGTTACAATCGTCGCTCTAGCATTTGCTGCTATACTGTTTTTCCTAGTGCGTGGGTTTCGTATGAGACGCATGCGTAGATCAAGCGCTGGAGGGTTCAAGGGTAATAGCAAGATGGCAAGCGATGCTGACCTTACCGCCAAAGATCCTACGCATGAGGATGTTAAGTCATCGGAGAGCCCAGATAATGAGAGATTCGGAGTTGGAGGAGCAGTTGTCTGTGGTCATGAGCGAACTGGAAGCTGGGAGATGAGGTCGACACTTGCTGGGAATCGGACGACTGCATCTCCTTTTGAAGATGACCATGTCGATAACTGGAATACTCACAGCGTCCCTAAGCCAGTCCAGGCTCGGGAACATGTTTGATATGGATCGCCACGCCCTTGTCGGGCAAGTTGATCTGATCTATTCGCTGAACTCTCCACTTCTAATATAATTAAATAGCCACGTGAGACCTACTATCCTAGATGATAATTCCCTACCTGATAATAATCCAACCCAACTCCTTCATATCCAGGATCTAAGCGTACTCCTTCCTCACGAGAGCACTTGCTTACCGGCCCGGGGGTCTAATGCACCTTCTAGATTCGCCCGATTATATACCCAGAGTGAGTTCCTTCGACGCAGAACAACCAAGAAGGACATCACAACATCTCAGGAAAGCCTCTGTCGCATCTTGTCTTCGCATACTCTTTGTGTTTGTTGACCTTTTCCTTTGGACGTCCCCTAAGTACAATTTACCCAACTCGGAAAATGAGATATGACATCCCAACATTGCTGGCAATGAGCCAGAATGTGCACATAGACCTTGGTCGATTCAGCGCGCAGGCACTGGGCTGTATGTGCCTCTGTAGTCATCGTTTAAGTATATTAAGCTCGGTAATGCTAACTGTTTTATGTCATCCAGATAACTTGCTCCGCCAACACAAAGCAGATAGAAGTATTTTGTCCGAGCGTCCAGTTAACGGTTCTAGGAACGTGTCAAATAGGTCGCGTCAGAGTCAGGGAACGCACTCAACCTCGGGGCCTCGTTTACGCCACCCTAGTCGCCAGCCAAGCGATCCTCCACAAGGAGCTCTGGCTCAAGCTGATGTTGGATTCGCGAGATTTCTCAAGGAGCACACGTCACCTAAACATCAACGTGTCACTGCTGGTGGCCGAATCGTTCCGATGGATTCACAGGGCCCTGCACCTCAGATGAAACTGGTAGCGATTGACCAAACCAAAGATGATCGTGGTACATTCTCTACTCCGACAATCGGTAAAGGCAGGTCCAAGGCCAAAGATAAGAGAGCACGGTCCGAGGATATCTGCCTTCATGCCGGTGCCGACTCGTCATCTCCGCAACCTCAAGGAATACTGGCGACGCACGCGAGATTGTCAAGTATAAGTATGAATGACAAATCGGAGCCGCGGATCTCAGCTTCGACGTTGATTCCGACTATAGCGCCGGTTGCACTAGGTCCTTCCATGATTTCGCATCCCAATGCGGCCTTCCCGCTGATGAGCCAACAATATTTTCAATTTGAGCCACAATTTCAGGAGCCTCATGCTTCCGCACTGCAGAATTATGCTATGTATGGTCTCGCGGGGTATCCGTTCGCCTTTTCTCCATCTTTGCAAGGTTTGAGCGCATCGAACGTCATTCCTTTCATGTCGTCCGCATCGCAGGCACAGACCTCTGGCCTGGTTACGCCATCGGATATAGCACCATGCAGCAGTATGATCGGTGGATACTCTGCGACCATGAGCCAATCTTCGTCAATCCTGGACTCGTTTGTTCCAAACCATGCACCACAGGGGTATCATCAAGTCGGTGGTCAAATGGCGGCTGTCAATCAGCCACTGTTCTCAATGGGGCCTTTCCTGGAATCCTCACTGCGCAGATCTCTGAGCCAAATCTCGATCGATTATGCAGCTCTGTCAACTCAGCTTACAAGTCTCGATAGATACATGGCCATGCATACTTGGGATATGGATCCTTGCGCGAAGAAGTCCTTGGTTGAACAGAGAAAGAGTTTGGTGCGAGAGTTAGATGTGGTGCGCTCGTACAAAGAACAGTTGGAAGCAACCCTCAGAGTCTCGAAAGAATCTGGGAATCAGAAGGAAAAGGAGGCTGGCGTCGCAGCCCCATCGAACGATTGTTTGCCTCGGAGCGTGTTGACCAATCAATTCCATCTGGAAATGCCCCCTTCTGCTTCACAACATGCGATACCTGGATTTTCCATGCTGTCACCGGTCAGTGCGGTGCCACCAGTTCTCCTGGTCGATCAGCCTGTGGACCCGTATTTTCAGTGGCAGGCTAGTCAAAATGTGGGAGGTCTGGACAATTATTTCGAATTTCAAAACTTATCCTCAGAGTGGAA